TTAGTTAGTCAATAACATAACAGATCGCCGTAGCGGCACAGCTAGATAGATCAAGGGGTTTCGCTAAAAACGGCAAAGTAGGCCTAGCTAGCTACCCAGCTACTTCCTTGACATCAGGGTCGTGTTCATTAGACACCGGAGGAGAAAAAAACGGAACGAAACGGACAAGGACAGTCTGAACTTATCCAATAAGAAACGCTCGTTTTCGTTTTCCGTTGCAAAACGTTTAGTAAAGTGTGCACTAATGAGACCGACCCTGCTTGATCATAGCTAGTTGGCCAACTAGCTAGAATACCCAACCTAGACAGATTTCTAGCAAGCAAAAATACAATATTGCTTTATATAATATAAGTTACCACGAATACATACCCATTATGGCCCATGTGCCAATCAGTATCTTAGCTACCTTTGCTAGTGAGCGCCGCATGAGACGGTAGAAAGTAAATCTAGCTAGCCAACGTTACTGCCGACGAACAAAGAGGATGTGAAACCTTTGCCACCAAGTAGGCCTATTACTTCAGCGTCCAAAATTGTCTTCAAAATAAAAGTCCTAATTACGGGTTCACAGCAACTATGTACTGTACAATGAGCGTACAAAACATTAAGAGCACCTTCCTAATATTGAGTTGCCCAATTCGTCGGGGCATGGACTCTACAATTCTGGCCCATGTTGACTCCAATTCTTCCCACATTTGTTTGTGTCAAGTTGGCTGGATGGCACATGGTTTGTGAACTGATACGCAAAACAATGCCAGATTCAAAACGTAGAATTTTTCAATTTTAATTTTATACAAAATTATTGCAACCAATATAATGTTATATATATGGGGGATACAACCACCCCAGCTCTGCAAAGAGACAGAATCATTAGATCATTTGTTGTGGTACTGTCCATATGTAGCTTGTTTTTGGTCGCAGGTCCAGGAATGGTTGAAGAAGTGCAACATTTACCTGGAGCTAACTCTGCAGATAGCACTACTCTGTGATTTGAAAAGTCATGGTCAATCGATCAATAATATAATAATACTTTTACAATCTATACAAACTATGAGAATAGAAGGGTTCAGAACTTTTGTGAAACATCACAGCACAGTTGAAAAATATATGGCAAATATAAATAAAAAAAATGGATGGTGTTAAGAGATAGATGGGAGGGGTTGAGTGGAGCTGAAGGGTGGGATTAAAAACAACAAGATAACTAATGTAAAATATATTGTGTCCGTAAAATGTATATACTGTATATATTTACAAAAAAATATATGGGGGATTGGAAATGATGCAGAAAATTACATTGATGGAATCTACAATCTATCTGTACTATTAAAGCTGATCTACCCCCTAAAAAAATTAAAAAGTCTAAGAAGCGGTAGATCTGTTCTATGTGCACTATTTATATGCTTCCCGTTCTTAACTTGAGTTTTTGCGTCTTTTAGTTTTGGTTTTGTACACCAGCTTCAAACAGCTGAAAATACAACATTTTTGGTTATGGAAAATATATTGGTTTCAATAAAAAAAAGAGTTGCTGCTTTCAAATATGGCGGCACTGTACATATAGATGCACGTTAGCACATATGCCAATGCTAAAAATACTTTTAAAAATCATCTTCTCATGAACCATAAATCAGAATGACTCCAGATTTGCTATATAGACACAATGCATTAGCCTCTAATGAATTTGAGAATGATTAGTTGCTGCATTCAACGGCGGCCACGCTACACCACTAGATGGCACCATACCACACCAGGTCTATAAACACTCAATGTGTTATGTAAACCTTATGTTCAGTGCCCTCTGTAATTATTGGGACAGTGAACATGCGGTTAAAGTGCAGACTGTCAGCTTTAATTTGAAGGTATTTTCATTCATATTGGGTGAATCGTTTAGAAATTACAGCAGTTTTTCTACATAGTCCTCCCATTTTAGGGGAGTATTGGGACAGAAGTATTGGGACAAATTCACTTATATGTGTATTAAAGTATTAAAACGTTAAGTATTTGTTCCCATATTCATAGCACGCCATGACTACATCAAGCTTGTAACTCTACACATTTGTTGTTTTGGTTGTGTTGTTTTGGTTGTGTTTGAGACAATTTTGTGCCCAATAGAAATTAATGGTAAATAATAGGGGTGTAACGATCCATCTACTACATCGATGTATCGATTTATATTCATATGATCCAACTACATCGATCTGTGCTCGGCGAGTTGGCCTTTTGGACAACATATATCGATCTAACATCGTTTTTAAATGTAATAAATCGATTGTATCGATACTAGGAAATAACCCATTGGATTTAAGCACGTCAGACTTTATATGCAGGGGTGCACATAACTGGTACGCAGATACGCAAGCGCGACAAAAATCAGGAATGCGTAATGCCACCTGTGTTACTACGCGCCTTTGCGTACTTGACCGATCTTCTCATCTAACCTTACACATGACATGTTGCTTGTCAACTACTGTCAGGGATGTCCAAAAAGCAACAGACATTAAGCAGCTTCTTTGGCGTTTCGCCACCTACAAAGAAACGCCAACTGGAGCCAGAGCCGAAGAAAATACTTTTTTCGGAAAAGTGGCTCCAAGATGTGCAGTGGCTTGAAGCTAACGATGAGCGCACTGAAATGTGGTGCAAGATTTGCCGCTCAAATCCACATCTAGCAGACAAAACAGGTGCATTTTATAAAGGCTCAAAGAATTTCAACCATCCTTTATTTGACAAACATGAAAAGAGCAAGGAGCACACGAATGTGGCGCAAGCCATTGCTAAAAGCTAGCCGAGAATAAATGTCCAGTCGCCCACTTGCCAGATGGCGAGACAAGCTGAATGAAGAACAGCGGCAAGCTCTGTTTAATATTTTTCTCTTTCCATAAAGCTAAACATCAGATCCATCAAAAAGCAGCCCCCAAAATTCAGCAGACTGCAACTTGGCTCGTAACTCCCCGCTGATGGTGTGAGCGATGCTAGAGCAAAAAAAACTGCTGCACTGAATAAAGCTATGTGAAGAAAATGGGATCTCCTTTGTGGAACTGGGTAAGTTTCATAATACCAGATGGTCTGCATGGAGGCATGAAACACTGTTAAAAATATAAAAGACTATTGCCAGCCATTAAAATGCAACTGGTTACCAGGTATTTATTTCAGTCACACTGGTTGAATTTTTGGCTAAAAGGTTACTGAATCGATTTCAAGTCACTGAATCGTTTCGGATCGTATCGTTCTAAATGAACCAATATCGTCCTTGAATCGTATCGACAACCACGAATCGTGATGCAAATCGAATCGTTGTTAAAACGAATCGTTACACCCCTAGTAAATAATGTATTGTGTCATTTTGGAGTCACTTTTATTGTAAATAAGAATAGAATATGTTTCTAAACACTTCTAAACACTTCTACATTAATGGGAATGGTACCATATTTACGGATAATCCTGAGTGAATCGTGAATAATGAAGATTGAGAAAGTTACAGATGCACAAGACATACTAACCTCTCACCATTACAATAACAGGGAAGGTTAGCATTTTTTTTTTTTGGGGGGGGGGGGGGGGGGTATGATATTTGTGCGTATGTAAGTTATCCACAAGTCTGAAGTAAATTTCTACATGTCCTTCATTGCCAATCACTTTGTGCCAATATAGAGCACTGCAGTCACACTAATTTAAATGAATGAATTACCCTTTTCATCCACTGTAAGTAAATTCTGATTTTGAACCACAATTCTATAGAACTGGAAGAGGGTGAATTATTTCATAAACCCATGTCTTATGAGCAGCCAATAACCCAGAAAACAGAGCATACATTTATGTGACCGCTCCCAGACGGACAACCTGTTCTGTCTCAATGTGAGACATGGAGACTGGCAGGAGCTTATGACAACACACCTGTAAATGACAACCCATTTATCTGAACCAGTATAGCTGGTTGAAATGAACATTGAGTCACCATTAGTCACTTTTCACAGTGGTGGAGACACAGCTGCTATCAGAAGAGACTACTCATCATTGTCTATGTTAGTTTCAACCAGTTACACTGGTCCAGATAAATTGTCAATGGCCATAAGCTCCTGCCAGTCTCCATTGTCACGGCTGTGAGAATAAACAAATGGTGAATGGACCCAAGAGCGTTGCCACAGCAAGTGTTTGTGCAGGTCACAAGTAATACAGAGGGAAAAGGCTAAATAGAAATCAATACAAACTTAGAATGGGGCTGGAGAAATGTAAACACTCTCAAATTCATAGACTAACCATCCATGAGATCAAAATGATAGTTTTAACCATGTTTTGAGGCTATACAGTGTTGTTGTTTTTACAATTACATTGTTTACAAAAGATGGAGAACAACAAGCTTATATTTTGGATTCTGATGCGGTACAGCTGTTGAACTAAGGAAGGGCTCTCCAACCATATTCCCGGAGAGCTACCTTCATGTAGGTTTATGCTCCAACCACAGTTGTAACTACCCTGATTCAGCTTGTCAACCAGCTAATTATTAGAATCAGGTGTGCTAGATTAGGGTTGGAGTGAAAACCTACAGGACGGTAGCTCTCCAGGAACAGGGTTGGAGACACCTGAACTAAGGTCATGAGGCATTTATACTGTAAGTTATATTCTGCAAGAAGCAATGGCTATATATTATCAATTAAAAAGTCCAAACGATGTATGTACCAATCACATATTCCCCCTTTAATAATATATATATATAACAAAGAATAACACAAATATATCAAATATCATGTATTATCATTTAAAATTGCACATCCATTTCACAAACTTACCCTCTATCCACACTTCTGCTCCTATGACAAACATTTCTACATGCAAAAAGCCCTTCATGTCTATAATACATCTGTAGCGGCAAAGGATATAAACTAATTGAGAGAAAAATAGAACAACATAAGCTTGTCTACTGATTCGGCCACCTTCAGTGTATACAAACAGCAGCATCCTCCTCCCTGGCCTAGATCCTGAATCTTCGTGCAACAATGGCCACAGCATTACTTTCTTTTCTTTACATTAGTCCGAACCTCTGCATAGTTCTTGTTGACCTGAGAAAAGCGGATTATTTGCACCACGTTGGTCTTGGCCTTGAAGTCCTGCCACAGGTATTCTGGAGACAGAATCTTAGTGGGCTTGTTGTAAAGGAGATATCTGTTCAGGTGGCTTTCCTCCTGCCGTGCCGCCTCGATGGAGTTGGCGGCATCGGCCTCCAGCTGCTCACGGCAGTACTTTGCCAGCTTGTGCACGTCCCCCACATAGCCAGCGATGGTGGCGCCTCCATAGTAGTAGTCTCCTTCCCCCGCGGGGATGTAGGCCCGCGAGGCAGGACAGCGCTCGTAAGGGTAGTGCTCGTGGGTCTGCTCATAGTAGCCCGGGTGAAGTGCGGCCACCAGCCTGCTCAGTGTTTCTGCCCCCCACCGGCCGTAGAACTTTGTGTCCACATCCAAGCAGAAGATGTAGTCCGCCTCCTTGCTTATCTGGTTCGCGATGGTGGTTTGGATCATCTCCATCCTCCTGGAGGAGATCTCCTGCCAGCACGTCTTCCCTCCGGTCAGTGAAGATGTAGTAATGCACTTTGAAATCCACCATGAAATGCTTCTCGGCAGTCTCCAGGAAGTCACGCAGGAAGCGCACATACCTAACATACAAGGAGAACCAAGTAGGTTTCAGGTGCCTGTCTCATATGGCAAGAGGATAACTCAATTTTCTGTAATTATGACATAATGTATAATCTAAATCAAGATATTTTCAAACTTTGAGTTAGGCCTGCTGAGACTGAGACTCACTAGTTTGGGGAAAAGGGTGTAGTGGAGACTAAGGCACTCAAAGGTTGGCAATCAAAAGCGTGGAACTTTCAGTGTGGAATATTTAACAACAAAAGATGTGTGGGTTGTATTTTTTCTTTTTTTTTTCTTCTCAGGTAACCAGAGCAAGTGCGAACTAAGTTCGAACCTATTTGTACCAGTCACTCTTGCACATGTCCATGTGACATTTGTTTTCATGTACCCAAGAGGTAGAGAAAGGTAAAGAGAGGTGACGGTCTAGCAGGGGCCATGCTCTATGTGTAGGCTACTGTGAGTGTGAGTGAGTGACACGGGGAACATGGAGGAGGGAGGGAGAGACGAGAGACAGCAACCAACCAAGCTGACTCGCGCTATAGTAGACTAATAGCTGCCATAGCTAGGTTTAAAATCATCCAATATAATTACATAGTACCTGTCTTGACTGCATCAAGCCGAGATCTACCGCTCAGATTTGTTTTTAACATTACTTAAAAAACAGAAGCCTATGCACATGGCCACAGGAAGATGTTTTTCAATTTATCAGGGGGTGCTGCAGCACCCTCAGCACCCCTACTTCCTACGGCTATGCCTCTGCAACATTAACCTATTAAAACCAGTTCGGTAGCAATGAGGTTTGTGCAATAGGCTATAGGCCCAATACATTATCATCACTGCATTTTGGCTATGCTTGAATTGCCATTCCAATGTTGTTCTTCTCAGACCATTTTGAAATTATGTTTCAAAGTTTTAGGTATATGATCACACTGACCATTTGTTGTATTACTTGTGAGGCACAGCTGAGTGAGCATAATAATTTGCTTTTTATTTTATTTTACTGGACTGATGGTCTGCATCTGATGGGGCCAGTCTGAGGGGAGGGAGGGAGGTAGCAGCTGTGAGGCTGCCTCTCACCCGACTCACCGTCCCTCCGCTCTCCCTCTCTCCGCTGAGAAAAGGGGACATTCTTCCAGCTTATGGCAAAACTCAAGTTGCACTGCATTATTTCTGCCTCATGCACCAATGTATGTTGTTACTCATAGTAGCCTAGTGGTTAAGAGCATTGGGCCAGTAGTTGAAAGGTTGCTGGTTCAAATCCCTGAGCAGACTAGGTGGAACATTTGTTGATGTGCCCTTGAGTCTCTCTAGTCATGGCTTTACAAGTTTAGAAATGTGACAGTATCAACTTTGCTGTGTGCTCGAGGCTTCTTTATACAGCCTATGGCTCGAGGAAACCGTGCAGACACGGTGAGCTGAGCTATCTGATTGGCCAGCGGTAGACCTATACGTGCACTTGATTTGCTCTCTGGGCCTGTCGGGTATACAGAGTTCTACCTTCAGACACAAGAAATGGTTCAAAATGGGAACACAACAGGAAGAAAAAATAGGAATGCAAGGCTTTATCATTGTTGTTTTTTACAGAAATGTTTGGTGATCGACTACGAATGCTACTCTACATTTGAGGCTCAGTGCTACCAGACATCCTGGTGGGGACGACTGATGTGTGTGAGACTACTTACTTGCCAACAGCAAAGACGGTTGTGGCGATGCTGAGGTGCATAGGCTTGTAAATGCTGTCAACAACCAAGGGATTAAAAGTGCCTTCCCAAACAATAGGTGCCAACCAAGGGGTAACAGCTACCACATTGGTGCGCCTGAAAAAAACAAAAGATATGGTCAAAGCTTGTGAACACCCAGAGATATTCAGTGCATCATAAGCAACTCTTTCATAGTGACTCCATTTCCTGTATTTCCCAATGCACCTTCTCCTACTGATACTATGTCTACTACTAACAATAATACATGAATAATAACTTACCCCTTTAACACACTGGGCTGCTTATACAGGAGTCTGAAAAGACCATGCAAAAAATGATGTTGTAAAATAGCGTACTGCTTTCAAAATGACATGCAGTTGGTGAGTTTTGCCAAGAGGGTGAGATTATTATATTAGAGTAGACCAAAGAAGAGTCTCACCCCTGTGGGGACAGCATGTCCCGGGTCCTACAACTACAGTTTTCCCGCCTGAAATTAACAGGGTCCTGCTGACACAACCTTCAGAGGGGGTTCAAAGTTAATACTGTGTTAATACTAAATGGTAGCATCAGGAGAGGTTGTGGAGGGTTAGGGGTTCACAAAAATAAGTATTAAAAAATCAGTTGTTTGTTTATAATGTCAGTAACACAAATGATCTTACCCCAAAACTTCTAGAATTCTGACATCCTTATTTTTCATCTCACTGTTAAAGATAAAAGGGAACATTTTAGGTGACTTAACTAGTATGTCAAATCAAATAGAAAAGCAGTGCAAAATGTAATTACTTCTATATTTACAATGGTACTGTATCAGAAAATGTAGTCTCAAATGAGATCTTAATCCCTGGTCTTGACTCTCATTGTCATGAGCCCATGGGGCTTTTTAACAGGCCAAATTCAGCAATCACCTATAAAATAGATGATGGTATAGTGTCTTTCCGATGGGATTATATACAGGATGGGATTTCTATCAAGATTGGATTATATCATTGACAAAGTTACAAAACAATGAACACTAAACAAGTTCCGATCTTCCCAAATGATGAGTAACAATATGTTAAAACTAGGACTCTAATTAAGAGATAGAAAGAGGATGATTAACACCATGTACAACACCTGTGATATCAACAATGTCCAAAAATGTATATGTAAAAAAAAAGTGGTATACAGAGAAGCATACGTTTTGGTTAAATGCCATTTTCAGCTCTGTGCAAACAGAAGTGGTGACACAGCTGGGGCTGTAACGATACCAGTATCACAGACAGAATAATGAGACAGATATTTCACTGGATGTATAAATGTGAAGCATCCGCTTGGCGTTTCCACTCACTACCAAATATGGTAGTGAGAGGAAGCCCACTGGCGGGCAGTGGGAGAAGATGGAACGAGATGGATTTTGGCCGACATTGTGCACATTTTCTCATCGACGAAAGATTTGATTTCAATACAGTTTTCTGTTCCCAAAACTAGAATCCGTTATGAACAGAGTGGACTAAGTTTTGTAGATTTTTAAAAAATCGCGTTGTTTAGAAGGTGCGCAAAGGCGAATTGAGTTATTGCACACGCGTACTTCACAGAGTAGGCGTTCCTTAACGGAAATATGCAGATGATGCTAGAACACGCCAATAGGATCTCGCTAGCTCGTGCTTGGCTCTGCCCACCTCCTTGCTTATTCTGCCCACTATGACTCATTAGTTCCAATTGGAAACGACAGGCTGTGGTCTATCTTGGTTTAGTTATAAAAAATCTTTGCCAATATCGTAATCAGTTTTCCATGGCAAAAATGAAAACACGGAGCAGATTTAACGCGTTGTACCTTTAAAAACCTGTTGTAGGGCTATCTAAAATATTGTGTGCTATAGCTTGGAAAATGAATAAATGTGACTCTGGATGACACAATAATTATGTTTGTTTCCAACATTGGGGCTGTTAAACATTAGGAAGTAAATTCCGCGTCGTGTTTTGTTTCCTTGCCACGACCCTAAATTACGAGTATCGCAATACTGGTATCGACCCGGCCCTAATTCGAATGTTAGTCCGTTATAACCTAGTTTGTTAAATAGCATGCCCTATATTTGCTAAATATGTTGAACATGTTTGCAGTGCACATTATTCTAACTGCATTGCTTCAATATGGAAATGCATTGTTAAACATAGGCCATAGCATTCGCACTGATATAGGGTCTAGGCCTACTGTAAATTGCAGTCTGGACACGGACATGCCAATTGCCAAACGTAGTCAATAAACACGATTAAAATCACTAGGCTAATTGACAGCGTATAATTGTAATCAAATTCTAATAAAAACTAAACAACTTGTTCTAAATAGGCTATGTCTAAATACAGTTAGGCTACAAGCACCATAATTATTCCCCATGGGTTGTATAGCCTAATACAGATAAAGCAACTTAGACTGTGGAGGGTTTTGCACATCCAAACTTTTCACAGGAGCTTGAAAAATATCCAATATAAAGAGAAAGGGAGAATGTCCACTCACCGTGATACTGCTCCCAAATGTTATGTTTTAAAAACATCATAGAACCATCTTACAGGTCATATATTAACTCATCCAGAAATAGCAGACATGTGCTTTCTCAACATAAACCAATAAATTTGTATTTTAATCAAATTAAACGAAAAACAATCTATCCATTTTTTAAAACAACAACAATATTTCTAAATAGGATCGGGTCAGAAGCATAAAGCAATGTTTGCAAACTTCTGGCTGCTGGCACACGTAGGCAAAGGGCTCTTCGGTAGGAGGAATGGATGTTTGTCCTATCCATTGAAGATAGTTTATTAAATAGTTAACAGTAACGCTACAATAGGCCTAGTTATAACAAACATTTGCCAATCTAGTTTTTTATTGGCTTCGACATGGATATATTCCTCTATGGCATTTGCATTTAGAAAATGCACTACATGTTCGAGCCAAACGTTATAATAGAATTAGCCTACCATCTCCGTTGACATGGCCTGTTAGTGAATCACGGAATTCCCGGGATTTGACAGTTGGATCCAACAGATGAAAGTGGAAGATGCAATTTATTTTACAAAATGATAAAGAAAAAACTATATTAATAACTTGATGTTCCTAAACTGACTTCATACAGTCACTGACACCTTATATTCAATGTGCATTGCACATAGGCATAATGAGTCCAAACTTCTCACAGAAGCTACTGTCGTCTATCGCGTCGATGCTGGCTATTATTGCTGTCAAACAAAGGAGTCCGCTTATACTGAACTTTGATCACAAGGTTTATTCATATCACAAGTTTTCAGCATAAGTTTACAGACCTGCAGTGTCTGGAGAAAACAGTGTCCCAAAATAATCTGTCTGTTTCTAACCCCCTCTTCCTCCAGCATATACTTATAAACAATGCAAAAATATGGGTTGCTCCCTCTGCTGTCCAATCCCCTGTCTACAACACACAGACTTCTCTGTCCTATCCGGGGTGTCACATTAAAACCATTCCCTCTGACACTAAACTAAACGTCCTCTCCGGTTCCACTTAAAAACATTAACAACGTCATAATCTTCATATACGACATTCCCCCCTTCGAGACTAAACAGTCTCGAAAACAAACAGAATAGGATTATGACAAGTAACAATTTATCTTATTGAGTATCTTTAACATTAAACCAAAAACCTTTTCCTCTAGAGTGTAAATACCTTTCCATGAAATATGAATAAATGTTTATGAAGTGTGAATACATTACTATGAAATATGAACAAATCTTTATGGAGTGTGAATACATTACTATGAAATATGAACAAATCTTTATGGAGTGTGAGAGCGAAAAACTGTCTGGCAACCTTCGTTCCAAATCCATCCATCAATCAAGACAGTAAAATTCTCTCACGGTCCCTCTGCCCCAGGCAACCACCTAGGTACTCCCGATGAATTCATAAATCTTTATCAATGCATTTGAAACTATGATGCAATTAAATACACATGTAAGCCCCTGCAAACAAAATACTATCCAAAAAATATCCACACCAAGGCTGGTCGACCCATCGGACCCTACCGTGGACCTCTATCCCTGCCTAGACTCCCTGTCCCTAAGCATTCACGAAATAAACAAAAACATCTAAGTTCCCCACATGTATTCAATAACATCAAATATCATTCTACAAAAATTAATACCTAAGAAAATGACACACATTATGTATTACCCATGCAAATATGTCTATATTTCATTGCAGACACTGGAATGTAGTCCACTACACTTCCTCTCCTCCGTAGTCTCCTCTTCCAATGCATTGTTGATGATGGAATCGGAATCTTTCCACACCTTCCTTGCTCCATCTCCTCCAGTCATTCTCCTTTCATATTGTCCCTTCATATTGTCCTTGTTTGAGTATTTCAATCTTTACATTTTCCCCCAAACGCTTCTGGAAGAAAAGAAAAGACCAAACAGTATCTTTTGCAAAACAAACACTTTCAAATTAAAACACCAATATCAACTAAGAATATAAAAATGATATATAAATGATGTATGAATCAATATAAATGATAGAATAATGAAATAGGATAATGTGATTCATTCATACACTTCCCCCCTTTGATTCATAACATCATACTAAAATCACACTAATATTGAAACATTTTTGAAAAATGATCAAATATTCAAAAAGGATATTTATCATCAATACTCCATCCAGTCCCACTTGTCCCTCTTCATCCAGATCAGGAACAGTCAACAACGGCATCTGAGTGTTGTCTCCAGGCATCACTACTCCAACCTATCTCAATATCATAGCTTTCTCAAAGGTCAGTAACAAATTACAAACATCACACACAGTGCTATCAAAACTGCCATTAAAATCTAATCCATCACTGCTCCTACTGGGCCTAACTGATCTTGCAACCAAGTCTTTGCTGACCATCCAGCTCCTTCAGATCTACCAAACGCATCCCTTATATTCTTCAATGCATCTATAACTATCTGGAATCAAAGTATAGGTAATATTATCAATATGATCTGCCAATAATGTTACACCATACCATGGAAAAAGTCCCCCCTTCTCTCTTAGAATTATCCTCCAATGATAGGCTTCAAGACTATGAAATGTCGCCATGTCCCTTTTCACCCTATTTCCAAACCTAGAATCAGATTTATCTGTGTCCGGTGCTACCCCTCTTTTAATGGTAGAAACCTCATATGGAAGCTTCAACATTGACATGTAACAACATCCTGTCCATCCATAGGGTAAGAATATATATGCTTTATCACCACAAACCCTCCAACTATCTCTAAAATTCCCAATAGTCACATTGTCAGTCAAAAGCTAATCTTTTAACCATCAAAGTCCTGCTCTTCTTACTAACTGGAACATAAAAAGTAACATTATATTTCTCATTACTACCCTTAAGGTCATGCATACCCAAAGTTATCATATAATCATCACAATCTGATATTCCCATAAACATACCCCTTACATCATATGTTTTATTAGAACAAAAACAACTTTTAGCCCTCACTGGTTTCACCTCCAATGCTTCAGGGTTCGCTGTTAAGTGATTTTCCTTCCCATCTAACAAATTCACACAAGTTAATTCACTTAACCCAATAACACTTAAACCTAGGCTTAAACAAATGTTTTGACAACGACATTATTTTATCTGTTCTGGACTTCTCAACAGACATGGACCCTCAAGATTCCTCACTGATCTTACAGAATGAGCTAGCTGCTGGAACCAAAGATTCCTACCTGCCCATCCATCTTTAATTTTCACAACAGAAGAATCAAACCCATCCATTTAGTTTCTCTCTTCCCTAACGAGCGGTACTGATCAGATACCTCTCCTTGTCTGTCATTAAAATCAAAGACCTCATCCTGTACCTCCATGATAGTATCCTTCACTATTTCAGATGAATCTATATTGTTCTCTACCACTATCTGATCTCCTATTTTAACCCTATCCTTACTATCATTGACAGCACTCTCCATCCGTACCATAAACCCCTGAGTCCTTTTTGCTACCCCCTTTAATTTCAGAAAAGTTGTTGTCGGTGTCGGTGTCATACTTCCTACATTTGTCATTGCCGTCGCATCATTAATCCCTTCCAAAGTTACCATTA